TCTACAAAACATCTAAAATTAATATATTTAAAGATGAAAGACTGAAAGCTTTCCTTCACAACTTGGGACAAGGCAGAGATATCCATTTTCATCACTCTCGTTCTAGCCACAGTGACATAGCAAGAAAAGGAAATTGAAGGGATACAGATCAGAAAGAAATAAAGCTGTCCCCATTATAAGTAACATGATTATCTACATATAAAATATCAAGGATTCTATTTTTTTAATCCCCAAGGACTAAAAAGTAAGTTTAGGAAAATAACAGGACACAATATTAACACACACACACACACACACACACACACAGACTATTGCATTTACATGTATTGATAATAAACAAGTAGAAAACAAAATAAATACTCAATACCATTTATAATTGCTCAAAAGAAAAGACATAAAGTTTTATCATAACATGTAAAGGATCAGTATGATGAAATTTAAAAAAAAAAAAAACCTAAGAAGACCAAAATAAATCAAGAGACATACCATACTCATGGACTATAAGGTTATTCTAACATGTATATGGAAAGACAAAGACCACTATATAGCTAGAACAATTTGGGGGAAGAAAATGATAAGTGGGAAGAATCACTGATCCCAGAATGAGAATTATGATATAGTTGCAGTAATCAAGACAGTGTAGTATTCAGTGGAGTAATGGAAGGAGACCAGTGGGAGGGAAGTAAGCGGAGAGAACTGGGGAGTGAGATTAATCCAAGTATGTTATGTACACGTAAAAATATATCACAATGAATCCCACTGTTATGTGTAATTTGGACTCACCAATAGAAACCATTAAAAAAAGATAGCGTGATAATGGTGGAGGGATAGACACATAATCAATTTAACAGAATAGCATCCTGAACTATATCCCACAAATAAGTCCAATCAACTTTTAACAAAGGAACAGAAGCAATTCAATAGAGAAGGGATAGTCTTGTTAATAAATGGTACTGGAGTAATTGAACCTCCACCTAAACCTTACCCACCTACAAGAAACATTTTAAATGGATCTTGAAGTTACATGTATAAAGTAAAACTATAACAAATTCAAGGATTAAAAAAAACCTTTGAGGTCTGCAACTAAGTAATAAGTTCTTGGATATCTAAGGAACTCAGAAAACTTAACACCATAAAAGTGAATAACCCAATAAATAAATGGGCAAAGGAAGTGAACAGACACTTCACAAAGAAGAAATACTATTGGTCAACAAATATATGAAAAAATGTTCAACATCTCCAGCAATTAGAGAAATGCAAATTAAAACTGCACTGAGATTTTACCTCACTCCAGTCAGAATGGCAATTATCAAGATGACAAGCAACAGTAAATGTTGAGAGGATGTAGGGAAAAGAGTTCATTCATACATTACTTCTGGAACTGCAAATTGGTGCAACCACTTTGGAAAGCAGTATGGCGATTCCTCAGAAAACTTGGAATGGAATCACCATTTGACCCAATTATCTCACTCCTCAGTATACCTAAAGGACTTAAAACCAGCATATTATAGTGATGTGGGCACAACAATGTTTATACCAGCTCAATTCACAATGCCTAAGCTGTGGAACCAACCTAGGTACCCTACAACAGATGAATGGATAAAGAAAATGTGGTATATACACACAATGAAATATTACTCAACCATAAAGAATAAAAACTTGTCATAGGCAGGTATTTGTGAACAGCAAATGACAGAAGGTCCTTGAACAACGGGTGCAGAGAGGAGCTGTACAGGAAAACCTGGTGGAAGATTCCCAGGAAATGGGTGGTCTGCATGGGAAGGAAAATCTAGGAGCATTTGCCACCCACTTCATGGGCAGAATCTAACCCCACTCCAAGCCTCCCATCAGCCAAAGCCCACCTGAGACCTCACAATACACCATGTAGCTGGTTTGCAAGTTCTTCTCTCCTTCCCACTTTCTGTTAAGAAGCCATGTTGAATTGGCCTTCTTACAGGACTTTTTACATCTCAGGATGACTGATGGGAGAGAGGGAGCATTTTTTTTCTGAATGGCTACTTAAAATGACTATTAATTAATATAACATTAATAAAATTCTACAAATAATACAATTTTCAAGGGTTATATAACTATACCAAAAAGATAAATAAATCTTAGAAAAACAGAGAAGGCTTTTAAAAACTAAACTAAATATAACAAATTAGAATAATTTTTTAAAAAGATACTACCCCTTCAGTTCAATTTAATATATAAGGAAGCTGATTTTAAGAAGGACCAAATTGTGTAAATTCATACAACCAGAAATAGTAAAACAGGATTCAGACCCCCAGTAAATAAATAAACAAACAAACAACTAGCATCAGAAAAGTACAAGAAAAATGCTCAAAATGTCTATTAATCAAAAATGCAAAAATAACACCAAAGATGTATAGAAAAGGGAACTCAAACAATGAATGCAAATAAGTACAGTCATTATGGAGAACAGTATGGAGGTTCCTCAAAAAAATTAAAGTAGAACTACCATATGATCCAGCTACCCCATTTCTGGGTGTCTGTCCCTAGAAATTAAAATCATTACATTGAAGAGATGCATGCACTTCCATGTTTATTGTAATACTATTTATAATAGCTAAGATAAGGAATCAACCAAGGTGTCTATCAGAAATGGATAAAGTATGATGGAATATTATTTGGCCATAAGAAATGAAATCCTGTCAATTGTAGCAAAATGGATGAAACCAGAGGACATTATGTGAATTGAAATACACCAAATACAGAAATACAAATACTGCACATGCAGAAGCTTAAAAAGTTGGTCCCAAAGAAGAAAAGACTGAAATAATGATTATTAGAGGCTGAGAAGGGCATGGGGGACAGAGATAGCAGGAGGTTGAACAAAGAGTACTAAAACAGATACGCAGAGGAATAAGCTCCAGAGTTCTACCATGTAGTAGAGAGACATAGTTGGCAACACCTATTATATATTTAATGAAGAACTAGAAGAGAGGACCATGGAGGACCAAAACATAAATATGATATGGATGTAAATGCTACCTACCCTGATTTGGTTATCACACACTGGGTACATGTATTGAATTATCACACTGTAACCCATAAATATGTACAATTATTATGAGTCAATTAAAAAGAAAAACTTAACTATAAAAGCAAATCAGCATTGGAGTATAGTTTTAATTAACAATGACTATGACTGATGCACTTTGAATCTATTGACTCTATACATTTAAAATCATACAGAAAAAAGGAAGAGGGAAACTAAATAACTCAATATACACTACCAGAAATTGCTAAGGCAACAACTCATTATCATGAAAATTAATAATTATAAAGAAAATAACCTATTTTGTATTTCCAGCATGAACTGTTTCACATTAACAAAATTAGGTGGGAGAAAGTTCTTTAATACAGAATGACTCATGTCTAAATGCAGATGGGAAGATTGAAAGTTTATTGTAAATACCAATGAAATAACTGAGTCTGGCAATGAATGGTGCCTGGTGGATATGAAAACCATTATGAGGAAAGGTGACAAAGAGCTTAACAATGAACATGCTAAGGGTCACCCTCACCCCCTTAGACTCAATCAGGCATTACTGGACAAAAACACGGAGCAGACGTCCCTGTCCTGAGCTGGAGGAAGCGGCACATTCTCCAGAAGAGGAGTCCTTCTGGAATCTGCCCCAGGATTCCACCAGACACCAGTTCCAAAGCTGGTCATAGTAATGGTCCCCATCCCAGAGTATACAGTTGCCACTGAATCTGAGTCCTTCTCCAGCACAAAATGACAACACTGATTAAGAGGAAAAGATATAAGAAATGGAAAGATTAAATCTGTTCTAGAATAAAAGATACATAACAGATGTAACAATGACACCTGTGAGTGGACCTTGTTCAATAATCAGGAACTCAACTTACAGGAACCAGCATTCCTCACCAGGCAGAATATGAAAAATTCTGGTATATATGTGTAATAAGAATTATCATGCAAAAAAAAAACAAAGTACATGTATAAAGGCATGAATTGGCGTGAACATACTCTGTATACAAAGATATGAAAAACTGTGCTCTATATGTATAATAAGAACTGTAATGCATTCCGCTGTCATGTACTTAAAAATAAAATCAATAAAACTAAAAAATAAATAAATAAATGTCGACTATTCAATAAATAAATAAATAAATGTATTCTGGTATGTTAAAAAAAAATACAGAAGAAGAAAAGAAAACCATATGCAAAGTTCCAGAACTTTCCTGGCTGTTCTTGCTGCTGGCCACCTCCTTGACAATTCCAAGCAATTTCTCATACCCATCCCAGGCTCATTAAGATGTGCCTCTTCAGATTCACATCAGCCACTCATCTTGCAGCCTCAACACGCTGAACCAACATTCCTGTCAAACATGCTACTGTGATGTTTGGTGTCACAGTTAAGTCAACAATGCACCTGTCCCACCAGAAAGTGTTTGTACTTTACTTCATGCTATTCAGGATAAAGACACATAATTTTCCAGGAACATCAAATTGTCAGGATTTAAGATCATTTGTGAAAATGCCCATTAGCAAATTGATAACATGTGAAAGATAATAATTCTGCCTCACACAGCCAATGGGTTTTCCATGACCCCCATATGTGTCCATCCTCTGAAGCATGTAGGGGGTGGTAGTATGCCCATCATACAGATGGAGATTCTGAGTCTCAGAGAAGTTCAAAACGTGTCTGATCAAGGTCACCCCTAAAAGTCACACTTGGAGTGATCAGAAAATCATGTGCATATCCCAATTCCTCATGTACCTATTTGCTGGTCCTCTCACAACTCATCTTGCATATTTCAGTGTCCAAGATTCAGCAAATATTCTGCTACTGTTCTATTTTCTATGTGGAATGAGGGATGTGCTAATTTCTAGGATCGACTCTGTTCCAGAATAAGTGGTCGGGAATGAGCTCAGCAAAGCATCTAACAAGTTAAAATATCCCGATCATGGGCAGTAGTAAATCAAGCAGAACAGGCATGATGATTACCTCAAATATGATGAGCACGTAGACCCCTGCAAGGATGGCCGCAGCGATGGTCACTTGTGCTTCTATACTTGCCCGCAGGTACTGATGAGCCAGCAAAAGAGGAACAACCTGGGTCTGCTGGAGGGAGGCCCGGATGCTAATGGAAACAGTCTCTCTGCAGAATCAAGCAAAGACTTTGCAGCTGGCCAGGGAAACAAATCCTAGGTCAACAGTTGGTTGTAAATTACCGGTAAACCCCAGACCAACAATTCCTTTGGTGTCCTTTCTAACCCAAGTCAGCCAGGTCATAACCAGACCCCAAATGGATCTCAGAGTGATCCAGCCAAATGCCTGGTGTCACAGATGGAAGAGCACCGAGCGTCATGGTCAGTGTCATGAGGTACAGCATGCAGCCCTTCTGTGGCCAAAAAGACCCAAAAAGTGAAGGCTCCCTGGCCCCCATCCTCAGTGTGTCCCCACAGGTGCCACTCTGACCACAGACTGAAAGCAGGGGCCTGCAACGCTATTTTAGCTTCGGCTCATCTTCCTCACCAGCATATGGCTAATGTGCCTGCTAACAAACAGCAAAACCAACTCTTTAGACTTCAGTCTCTGATTGTGGGATAAAGCGCCACAAACGAGAAGGCTGTGAAAAATCAGAAGTTTGTGGCATGCTGAAGCTGAAGCACGTTTTTCCCCCTTAGTGATTATAAAGATATTTTCTTTTCTTTTTGTGTGTGTTTTTATGAGTGCTTTACAACTATACATAACAGTGGGGTTCCTTTTGATGTAACCACACAAGCATGAAATATAATTTGCTCCATTTCTGTCCCCAGTATCTACTTCCCCACTGCCTATTCTCCCTCTGCTATTTCCACTGGTCTTCCCCCATCTATTTATTGTTTTTATAAATTGGTATTTTACAGGTACGTAAAGGTGGAACTCACCAGGGTACATGTGAATGCACAAGCACACAGTGTAATTTGATCAACCTCATTCCACTGGTCCTCCCCTTTGCCATCCCTTCCTCACCCTCAACCCTCCTCCTTCATTCCACTGATCTCCTTTCCTTTTTCACGGTGTCCCCTGCCTTTCTTTCCCCTTGTTTTGCTCTAGCAAAATACCACATATTATGGTATTTGCCAGTAAACGCATGCAGCTGAAGCACTTTTTAAAGGTCAGTCAATAACTTTTATGAGTCTAATGGCATCCCCACCCCCAAATTCACATGTTGAATTTCTAACCCCCAGCACCTCCGAATGTGACTGTATTCAAGGTAGGGTCTTCAAAGAGGTAATAAAGGTTAAAGGAGTCACTTAGGATTGATCTTAGGTGGGTCCTCATCCAGTAGGACTGGTGTCCCTATGAGAAGAGACAAAGACACACAAAGGGTTGACCACAGCAGGACCCAGCAAGAAGGTGGCCTCTGTAAGCCAAGAGGAAAGTCCTCAGGCAGTCTTTGTACTCACTTTCTACACTGCGTGAGCACCAAATCCAAACCACATGACTCATCTAGTGCTATTTGTGCCAAAGTCTGGTGTCCTATAAATCAAACTTACAGGCGAGTACTACGATTGAATACATTCCCCCAAAAGAAACTTAATTCTCAAATTATATGAGGATAGAATTTGGAGGTGATGCCTTTGGGACATAATCAGGCTTAGGTTAGGTCAGGAAGGCAGAGTAGATGACAATAGTGGCTTTAGAAGGAGAGGAAGAGACCTGAGCAAGCACACTTGCTTTGTCTCTCCATGTGATGGCCTCAACTAAGTCACATTTGCTACCTAGCAAATCCTTAAGATGCCAAGCAAATGTTGGCACCAGGATCTTGGACTTCCCAGCCTCTGGAACAGTAAGCCAATTAAACTTCCAATCTTCATAAATGGCCCAGTCTCAGGTATTCTGTTACACCAACAGAAAACAGACAAGACAGTGAGACAGTCTGCGCAAGGCCTGTCTCACCTGAGGACCCACCTGTTCAGTATCTCAAAGGTCCTGCTCACCACTGAATGCTCACTTCTTCTGGGATTTAAAACTACCGTCCAATTGTGAGTGACCTGTAAAAACCAAAACATAAAATTGTGGTAAGGCTTTTCATTTGAAATCTCATCTGGGATATCTGGTGCCATTCAGTGTATGTCTTTATTTAAAATAAGTAAAAGAGGAAGAGAATAATAGAAGACCATTTTTTAATATGAATTCCTGCATCCCTAACATTAGGAGCTTGTCCAGGTTATGTGGATATTGGAATTAAGGGGGTATTAAGAAAAAAGAACACAGAAGTACGAATACAGAATTTGTACACAAAGGTAAGAAAAGTATGGAAGTAAATACAGTCTTCACTCCGTATCTGCAGGGAATTGTTTCCAGGAACCCCAAGTATGCCAAAATTTGTGGACACTCAAGTTCCTTGCCAAAATAGCTTAGTACGTGCATATAATCTACACACATCCTTCTTACCCTTCAAATCATCTCTAGATTACTTATGATACCTATACAATGTAAATGCTGTGTAAATAGTTGTTACTCTGTATCATTTAGGGAATAATCACAAGGAAAAAAATTTGTGCATGTTCAGTACAGACACAATTTTTCTTGCAAAAATTTGCAATCTGCAGTTGGTTAAATCCTTGGATGTAGAACTTGTGGGTAGGAAGGGCCTACCACACTGATTTATTATAAGCAAAAGAAATCACCACAATTGTTAGAGACTTAGAGAACTCTTCGGAGTTCTCCAAGGCAATTTACAAGAAATGCTTCCTTAGAAATGCTTCCTGGTCGCAACCTAGAGACAACAAACCCTCCCACAGAAAACTCTCCACACCCCATGTCACAAGAGCCTCACAAGAACAGGCCTGACATGGAGCCACGTGTTGCAGGCAAACCTGCCCTCACATTCTTGTCCCCAGCAGAGCAGGGTGCCAGGGACAGATGTAGAGGGGCAGCCTGGTGGACAGGAGAGGAAACTTTCTCTGGGAGGACTAAAGTCTACACACAAATCACAAAGGAAATTGAAAATAGGAATTCTGAAATTGGTCGAATCAGAGAAGCACATGCATAAAAGAACAGGAATTCTCTTAAAATATTTGGGTGCTCGTAAAGAGCATATTCAAGGAAAAAGTGTTTTAGTAAAGCTCTTGTGATCTTTGTGTTTCTGGAGCTGGATTTGTACGTGGGCATTTGGGGAGCGTCAACATGTTATGAAGAGCCTTCCTGTGAGTGCAGGGAAGCTTGATATAGCTCATTTAATTTGAGTTATAAATATGCATGTGCTGAGAAGGCAGCTAGACAGCAGGAATTAGCTCTAGTGTTCTATAGCACAGTGGGGTAACTATAGTCAACAATTTGTGATCTATTTCAAAACAACTAGAAGAGTCTGAAGCTCTCTTACACATAGAAATGATAAATGTTGGAGGAGATAGAAATGCTAATTACCCTGATTTGATCATTACCCATGGTTATGCATGTATCAAACTATCATGCCCCCGTAAGTAAGTATGCATCAATAGTGTATCAATTAAGATTTATTATTATGAAATAATGTTTTAAAGAGAGCAGGTTGTCCCACCTTCTTCTGCATAAAGGTCATGGATGCGGGGTTGGCAGAGGTGTGTCCTCCTCTTTCATTACCAGTGAGCCCCTTGCCAGCGAACTGTGCAGGACCAAGGTTATGTCCTCAGACCTCGGCCAGCGCAGCCGGCTTGGAATGTTGTATTGTACCAGCCACTGACCAGGAAATTGCATCCTTGTTCATAATTAGGCCTTTGCTCTGTGAACCACACTCTGCACAGCAGGAAAATGTGAGGGGTGCAGCCCTGGACACAGGCAGGGTTTTCTCCCACTGGTTGGTTATATCAAGGGAAACCCATGAACGAGGAATATGACTTCCGTGCAGAAGGCACTGTGACAATCCAGTGGGGTCGCTGAAGCCAGCGCTCAGGAGATGGGTCAAACTGCAAAGAGAGGTGTCCTGCCTTTGATGTCCATCCCTGCTGCTGGCTCTCCTATGTGTAGGCCGCCTTTAAAGAATGTGAGCTGAAGACCAGGCACAGTGGCCCACGGGTAGAGATGCAGAAGCTCAGGGACCTGTGTCCTCTCAGCAATTACCCACAGACACAAGGCAACTGTGGTGTTGGCGCGTCTTCTATACCATAGGGTAAGGCCCAGGTTGAGTGTCGCTTTACGACAAAAACTACTTTCAAATATAGAATGTTTCCCTGAATGGCCCAGTAAAATGATTCTGAGGGAAGAACTCACAAGTCTGATTTTACTGAAATGGCAAGAGTTTATAAATGATTTAGGAGAAAAAAAAAAAAAAGGTGGCGGGGAGGAGAATTTCAACAACAAAGGGGGAGATAGGCGTCAATGGCTTGACTGATAATGGCGCTATTGCCTTATGGCTTTCCATCAAATTCATTCAAGAGGAAACCTAATTTATAATGAGATGAAATGAGATTTTTACAATTCCTTTCAAATAACACATAAGCATAACCTGCTGCTGCCGACGCCGCCTGGAGCCCGGTGCATCCGTCTGGGTCACCTCTACCAGGACATGTTCTTCTCTCCCGGAACGACCTGGCCCACCAGTCTCCAGGGCCCCTGCCAGGTCCACCTGGAGCAGCATGGAGTCTGCATGGCTGCTGAGGTTCACAGCTGAGGGCACGTCAAGGTGAACCGCAAAGCAAAGAGGAGAAGTCCAATGTCCCCCAACCACCCACTGGACACACATCCTCTTTGGACAGTGCACAAAGATAATGCACGCTAGGTCATTTCCTGCCATGGCCCCACGCCCTTGACTACCTGTCTCTTCAGCCCCTCTCTCCCACACATGCAACCGGTTGTGCATCACTCACTGTGTTTAGGACCCTCTGCTGAAAGGTCTGTGAGGCATCTCTCTGACGTTACTGACTGTCACCTCTGTTTTCATTTTTTTGCAGCCATCATAAAACTACCCAAGCTCATGAGCTCCCAGTGGGCAGAAGGCCAGATGCCTGCATGAATGAACACATGAACGAATCCAAATCTACACACACATCCTAGGATGTCAGGTCCATGTGTCTACAAATGAGAGATCACAAAAGGTAAAGAATTTTGAAATTGGGTTCTGCAGTGGCACACAACTGTAATCCAAGCTACTCTGGAGTCTGAGGCAGGAGGATGGCAAGTTTGAGGCCAGCCTCAGCAACTTAATGAAACACTGTCTTAAAATAAAAAGGGCTAGAGATGTAGTGATATAGCTTAGTGGTAGAGCATTCCCAGGCTCAATGACCAGTACAGAAAGAAAAAAATAAACCAAAAGAAACAAAAAAAAAAAAACCAGAAAGAGAGATCTGAAATTGATGGAATCAATGATGCTCACAATAGTGAGAGGGTAGAAATTCCTTCAAAGCACACTGAAAGGCTCTTGATCAAGGAAGAACTGTTATAAAAAGAGGCTCCTTCCACCTTACCACAACCTCCCATGGTACTTAGGGCCCCACAGCAGCTCTTCCCCACAGCTCCTAAAACCTTGCACGTATATCTGATACAAATGTAGGAGCCCCTGCTCCTCAGCCTCTACCTGCCCCGGGCTGGCTCTAGAACCTCTCACCCTTGCTACAGGGTCCTAGGGGGAAACAAGGTGTCTAAAAGTGACAGAGAGTCTACACAACCTCTAGCCAGTCAGTCTTGATCCAGAAGAAAAAACTGTTGTAGATAGAAAAATAAATTTCACAATTGTATGTGTTTGATGTCAGGTCTCCAATGTCTTTTAGCAGAAGCTCACTGGTGTTAGGATGATTCATGAGCCAATTCCTTTGTTCTTCCTTAAATGAAAGAAACAGCTAGCTTATAGAGCAAACCTGGGGAGGCGGGGTGGGGGAGAACTTCCCTGTTGCCAGAGTATCTACAAGATTTGCATTGAGTGTTGGGGAGGGTCGGTGAATAGTTCATTCTTTTCATTGTTCCTCCGGCAAAATGTATTGTTTTTAAAAAAACTGCAAAAGCTTTCTAGTAAAGAAAGTGTCTTATCAGTCCTGTTGTCTATGTGAGAGAACAGAAGGGACAGCTGTCCCCAGCCCTCGACTGGACAGTCCCTCCACACACCTCTACAGCTACTTGAGCCTCAGAAAGGACAAATGGAAAATGGAAGTCACACACGGGGCAGAATGTACAAAGAAAATGCCCGAGAGACTCTGCTGCTTCTGCTATACTTCAAAATTATTCCTGTCCTGGTCTTTCCCCCAAAGCAGACGCAGGACAAATAGCTTAGCACAAAATAGATTCCAGACCTTGCAGACACCAGGAGGTGGAACAGTGCCACCTGGAGGCTACCATCAGAAGCACAGCAGGCTTCTTCCTCAGGTATTTGAGCAGAGACATGGATAAGCAAAGCCTTTGTCATGGGGTCTCAAGCCCTCCTGGGGAGATAGATAACCAAGTAATATTAATTAAAATACTCTAAAATTAACCATCCACATGGAGTTCACACAAAATCCAAGGGACAGAAGGCCTTCCTTTCCTCTCATCCTCTGGATGCTCACCACATGTTCAAAGCCCACTCTGAAGTTCCAGCAGAAAGGATCCACCAGACTGAGCCCCACCCTCATGTCCAGCTTTGACACTGTCTTCCAGCTACAGTGAACTGTCCACTGTGATCCCAAACACGCAGTTCCACATCTCCCTCTGAACCAGAGCCTTTGCCCCACATCCTCTAAGTCTGTCCTTGACCTCTGCATCTCAACCCAAGTAGGTTCCACCACTCCTTCCCACATTCTAATGCAGACTGCATACTCTGCTATTAAAGTGTTTATTCACACTGTACTACAGTTTGTTTTAGATTTTTCTGCCCAACTGATCTAGTTCCTCAAGGGACGGAATTATTTCTTATTTATTTTTTACTTCTCGTTACATTAGATGTCCCTAATCACTATTTGTTCAGTTAATAAATACTTGTTTACAGCATCATCATGGAAGTTTGATGAAACTAGCCCAGAGTCCCAGCCTGCGGGGAGCAAGGAGAAAAGAAAACAGAGAAATCGCCTCCATTCACCAGCTGCATCAGCTACAATCTTCCTGCTTTTCCCATTACCTAAACCCATTATTCTAGATGTAACTCAAGACTCCCTCTGTGACTCTTCCTGTGAGCACTGAGGCTCCCTCCTCGAGCCCCTGGTGTGCTTCTCCCTTCTACTCTGCTCTGCTCTGCTGCTGGCTGTGTGGAGTAGGCAGCTGTCCTGGAGGCCCCACACACCGTGTGGAGGAAGATATGAGCTACCCCAGGACATGGAACAGTCCAAGAGAACCTGAAGAGGGACCTTCGCTTGCACCTAAACTAAAAAGCCCTCAAAGGCTTACCTTTCAGTTTGCTACAGAGCCGTCCAAGGTGGAGCTCAGTTAACACCTGGTGAAGATTCCCTTCTTGGCCAAACTGTGCTCTGGCTCATCTGAGCCCTCATCTACACTAGGCCTTAATCTTGGCCTCATCCTTGATTTGCTGGTCTTAATTCTAGTAAGATATCATTCCATCCCTCACATCTGATCAAGTTCCTCTTTTTCCCCTGTTAACATAGGAGTCAACCTGGCTAGACCACGGCATGCCTAGATGTTTGGTAAAGCATTATTTCTGGGTGTCTATGAGGGTATTTCTGAGATGGGCATTAGAACTGGTCCTCCCCAATACAGGTGAGCATTATCAAATTCAATGAGGGTCCAGGTAGAACCAAAGGGGGAGGAGGGGGATTTGCTCTCTGCTTGACGACGGAGATGAGACACTGTTCTGCCTTAGACATTCCAGGCTCTCAGGCCTTCAGGTGTGGACTGGAATCTATCCCAGCAGCTCTCCAATGTTGATGCCCTCAAGCTAGAGCACTGCTTTTCCTGGATCTCCAAGCTTGCAGAGGACAGACTGTGGACTTCTCAGCCTCCATAATCATGTGAGCCAATACTTTTTAATTTCTTTATATGTTTTTTCCTTATTAATCTGGCTTTTGTCAGTTTAATTTACAGGTCCCCATTGGAAAGCCTAGGAGGGTAGGGGGAAGATTGTAATAACAACCCTACACTGGGCATACTGTTTCTTTAACATTCTGAGAACCCTGGCTACAAGACAGAGAGAAAGAGAGAGAGGTGGGGGTGGGAAGAGAGGGGAAGGAAGGAAGGAAGGAAGGAAGGAAGGAAGGAAGGAAGGAAGGCAGGCGTGGGGTAGAAAGATAGAAGGAGGGAGATGGAATGAGAAAAAGAGAAGGAGGAAGAAGTGGTGGTGAAAAAGGAAAGAAGGGAAGAAGGAATAGGAGAGGGAGGGCTAGAGGAAGGAAGAGAGGGAGGGAAGGCAGAGGGAAGGAGGGAGGAAGGAGGGAGGGAAGGCAGGAGGGCCAGCCTCAGGAACCTGCAGGTCAAGGTTTGCCGGCCTCCTCATTTCCTCATGACCTAGGCGCCTTTGACAGACCTTCCTCATAACAAGCATAGACAACAATTCAGGGACAAAGAACTTCAGGTGCCTGCAATTACAGGTTTCTAAAATAAACCCTATAATTACTGAGCTGACACAGTCTGACTGTTGCAAGGAGACAGAAGTTCACCAGGGAATGGTAGCTTTATTATTCCCCAACTCAGGGGAAGTGGTGCTTTCCCCCAAAGCCCTTCCCATCACAATAGACATGGCCACTACCATGTACCTCCTCCAGACCCCATCCAGGGGGCCAGCCACAGGTCAGTCAGAAAGGGAGGGCACAGGGCTGTTTGCTCAAATGACAACCATAGGATGCTGCCATTGGCCTTTCAGAATCAGTCCTGAATCACCTCCTACCCCAGGTCTACACTTAATGCACTTTCCCTGAGAATCACCCTTAAAAGTTCTAGCCCCTTCTTAAAATCCAGCAGTGATTTGCTCTCTGGGGCATCCAGGAGCATCCTCTGTAGTGTCTAATTCCCCAGCTCTTCTCCACGCAGGCCCAAGGACAACTGCTTTCACAAACCCCTTCAGTGGAACCTTAGTCCAGGATCTTGGGAGAGGATGCATGAGCTTCCACAGGAAGAAATCCATAGGAAATCCATAATACAATCATGCATTTTCCCAAGGAGCCAGCAGGGAACTCACCAGCCCTCATAGAAGGTGATGCTCCACAGACTCTAGCACCGCTACCTTCTTGCCAGGTTCCCTCCACCCTCTCTCCCTTCATCTAAACATGCAAGGCACTCGGAGAGCAGAAGAAAGAGCTCCCTGATCACTCCTGCTGACAAGAAAGAAGGGCTCACTGGAATAGACGGGTCACTGAATCCTGGGCAGGACCTGGCACACTTGACTTCTCAGGAAGAAACTTTATCAAAATGTTTTAGAAAAAAGTGATACACTGCAGATCGGTGGGATGGACAGACGGCATTTTTTGTTGTTATGATCCATCTTCTTGTGCAAATCTGCTGTGCTTACCTGAGCTATGTACTGACTGATAAGTTGTCGGTGTTGGTGTTCACCAGGCTGCCCAGGCAGAGCATTGAAATCGTCCAATCACCAGACTCCCTCAACACCTCCCCACTCCCCCACCTGTGTCTCACTGAACAATGTCTGATTGGGATCAAGCCCCTCCCACCAGGTTCTCTGCAGGTTGTAACTACCTGAAGTGAAACCACCCAGAGGGAGGGCAACATCCATATCCCAGGGGCCACCATGAAGCCAGGACTTTGAGAAGGCTCCTGGCAGAGCCAGGGAAAAGAAGGAAGAAGTCTTTGTTTTTTGTTTTTTGTTTTTTTTCCAGCCATAGAGGTGGAATGGAGGTAAAGGAAGAAGAAAGAGAAACAAGTGTTTATCAAAATCTTAGAGCTCTTCAGTTCTCTCTCAGGAAGACACTTCTTAGACAAAAGTCAAATCACAATTTTAAAGTGGTGAAGGAAATACAAAGACAAGAGGAAGTGCTCAGTTGGGCATCAGAGCTACTCTGTCCTGGGGCAGGTGGACTGGGCACTTCTGGTTTTTGAGACAGAAGGATGCACATGGACCATGATCCTGAGCTCATTTAAAGACCTTGAGTGTTAGGCCTTTCCAGAGGGCTGCTGGTACCTTATGTGTGTAAATCACTTGGCTCACAGAGAGTGTCTCCTGGGAAGATGAGGGAGATTCCCCAGAAGGGCTTAAGAAAACAAAACTATGCGGCAGACTGCAACTGACTTTGAGGAAATGACCCAATTTCCTAAAATTTCAGTGATATAAGGGATACCAGAACACAAGCACTAAAATCCTGACAGTCTGTGAAAACTGAGATAGCTACTAAGTGACTGACCAGGAGGGTAGTATATGCAGCATGAACACACTGAATAGAGGGATGATTCATGTCCCGGGTCAGGCAGAGTGGGATAGCTGCTCAAGACTACATTATACCGCTTAGAACAGCACACAATTTAAAATTTATGAATTGTTTAAATTCATGTAAATTTTTCAGTTAATATGTATGGACCACAATTAACTGTGGGTAACTGAGCTAAGTGCAGTGGCACCTGCCTGTAATCCCAGCAGCTCTAGAGGCTGAGGCAGGAGGTTCATGGGTCCAAAGCCAGCCTCAGCAAAAGCAAGGTACTAAGCAACTCAGTGAGACCCTGTCACTAAATAAAATACAAAACAGGACTAGGGATGCGGCTCAGTGATCGAATGCACCTGAGTTCAATCCCAGATACCCCCCACCCCACAAAAAAACTGTTGTTAACTGAAACCTTGGAAAGTGAAACTATAGATGTGGGGAATTAGTGTAATCAGAAATTCTTGACCTGGCCAGAGCTTCCTCTTCCTCCTTCTCTTTCCTCACCTTCTCCCCCATACCACTCCCCTTTCCAAGAAGCATCCCCTCCCAGGGCCCACCACTGACTCCCACTGCTCTGAGCAGTTTTCTGGGGTCTCATGCTCAGGCATCTGAAGCTAAATGTCTATTCCAAGTGAGGCTCTGGCATCCAGTCTTAACTCAATGTGTAAACAACTGGAAAAGTGCCCTTTCCACCAGAAAAGGCTGGACAAACATGAGTGAGTGGCTTACTGCTTCTTCCAAAATGAGGTCAGGGCAAACAATAAGCCTGAAATCTTCAGGAGAAACAAGGTGGGGCTCTGCTGTCCTGGCACAAGTGCGGCCACCACACTATAGAAACAGGCAAGCTCAAACCAGGAAATTCAGAAACTGCTCAAGTGTGAGCAGTATGAGAACAAGCTCAGGGACACAGGGGTAGAGATGTTTATATCTTCTTCCAGGCTTTTCTTCCAGGAACCCCAGCAAGTGCCCACAGGGAAGACAAGACTGGGGAGAATTCAGAGAGAGCGGATCCCAACATTCCCAGTTGGAAAAGATGGCAACCATTGTCAAACTCCACCCACATCCCCCTCCTCTATCTCCCCAAAGGTGTAAAAACCCTAATTTGCTTGGGAATTGCATCAAATCTGGTAATTGAGGGTGCTAAGGAAACCCTGTAGCTGGGAGAGGGGAAGAGGGAGAGAGTAGCTCTACGCAGTGGAAGGGGAGGATCAGAGCAAGTCCTTGCAGACAGTCTGGCTAGAGGCCTGGTAATTCCAAGTGTCTAGTGCACCAGATTCCCATAGCAACCACAAACCTGAGCACAGGTGACTTCTGACTAGATTTATATAAACCCTCCAACTAGTGCCTACAGAAGGATATGGCTCATCACCAATCTTAAAAACTACTGACCTCAGAATCTACTCAGAATCCTATAGAATGTGTGTGGCTTTTAACAAAAAGTTACAAAGCCCACACACAGTCAAGAGGAAACACGGTATGAAGAGACAAAGCAATCATCAAAACCAGGTGACAGCTGTAATAGTTCCTGCTTGGTGGATCTGGACCCTGGGCGACGGACCATCTCCTTGTATATTTTGGATACAGTAGCTTTCCAGCGGTGACACAGCCAACAACTGCCAGAACTTTCCTTGATCTGGATACAGGCTGAATAAAATCTGTAAGAGTCAGAAACATCTAATGACAGATTTAGATATGAGAGCAACAGGATTTAAGTAATTTTGATCACTGTTAAAAATAGAGATATGATGGTGATGATTTATGCATCCAAATTTCACCAGCTTACTCTGAATAGCTTTTTCTTAGATATTAAAATATTCTCATTCGTTATATGACGCTCAGCTACAATGGGCCTTGATTATCGATATTTGCCAGCTTTTAGGATTAAATATCCAACCACAAAATTAAATTGTCAAAAGTGAGTAACTATGGTTTGCCCATGTAGGAGAGCCAGAAGAATGTGGCCTCTGTGATGGTTATAACGTGTATTTGTGAAACCTGCAAAGAACCTGAAATGCCATCAGAAAGTAATGACAGTAAAATGACACATTACAGAAGTTCAAAACAAATTTCTCATATTCTATTTGAAAGTGTATACAAATCACAAAATCTGCATCTCCCAAAATAATGCTGAATAGTAGACACCAAGCTCAAGTCAGCTCCAGAGACCAAGGGAGACCTGGCTCACTCTCATCATTGAAATCCCAGCACACCCTCCAGGCCTTGCCGAGAGAAGCTTCACAGCCACACAATTGTGTGAGTAGTGAATACAAGGGCACATAGGTGGCAAAAACAATAATAATAAAATCATGAAGTTTTCAGAGTTCAGGGTAATTGTTCTGATTAGTGCAGAGGTCTCCTGTCTCTGGACACTGCTCCCTCATAGGTTTTAGGAGTTGATTGCACTGACTCATTGCAGTCATCATGCACCACCCTTGCTGTCTACATGTCACATCCAAGAGGAGCAGATATATGGTCATGCACAGTGGAAGGACAGGCTTCCCTTGCCACCCTAGTCCACCACCCCCATATGTCTTCAGCATCTCCTTCAAACAAAGTTCAGAAAAATGGGCAAAGAGGGACAAATGATGGATCCCGCACCTTAGATCCTCCCGCCACCCAGCCCAAGGAACCTAGGAAGCTAAATCCACCCAACAAGCCTCCCGCACTTTCACTGACCCCACAGAGGGCTAGGAGCCGCCATGATACTCACAGAGCACACCACCACAAAGACAAACAGACCCGTGACTTTCACCCACTGCAAGCAGCGCCTGCAAGAGAAAAGGCGGGACGTGAACAGTACGTGGCCGCAATCCTGTTTGCGAGTGGACGGACCTGACCAACCTCAGCTGCTTTTCTGATGCCCTGAGTTATCTCCATTGGAAATCATGTATCGTGAATTCTTTCCATAACATGGTATGGAGAACTCTGGGCCAGGAAACCTACTGCCTCATCAAAAAGGGATTGGTGGAGGCACAAAGAAATCAGTGTTAACCCTGAGCATTTGCATACATCTTCCAGCTCCTGAAAATAAAGCTCATGATTTGGGACTCTTTGCTAACCTTCTGAAGGCTCCAGTTCTGGTTTTCTGTTTTGTTTTTTTTCTTTTTTCTGACAAATTAATTGAGTTCCTTATCTTGGCTCTTCAATTCACACTTATCAATTAGTTTCCCTTAAGTTTTCCAGAAGGTAGAATTATAGATTTACCATCAAATATAAAAACAAATAATTCAAGAAAGAAATTGCAAAGTTGTGACTGATTTTATTAGCAAGATCTTTTCAAGAATTCTATAGGAGATAACTTGACAGGTCACATACACAGCCCAACTGAGGGTTTCCAAAGTTGTTCCAACCCTGTCACTATCACCCTCTTCATAACTGTGGCCCCCAGACCCTACATGAACTTGAACTCAGTCTGCCCTCTGCAGCCCCACAGTCCACCAGCTACAACCATACCACAGGACCTTTACCTCACCAAGATCCTCCCTGGCTGCAGTCTTCATCTCTGCTCATTCAGCCACAGATCCCACCTCTTTTTATTTTTGTTTTATTTATTTATTTTTGTAGTTGTAGATGAACAAAATGCCTTTATTTTGTTTTTATTTTTATGTGGTGCTGAGGATTGAACCCAGTGCCTCACAAATGCTAGGCAAGCTCTCTGCCACTGAGCTACAGCCCCCACCCTGCATTTCATCTTTTTCTTTTAATATTTATTTTTTAGTTATAGTTGAACACAATACCTTTATTTTTATTTATTTTATGTGGTGCTAAGGATCGAACCCAGGGCCTCACACGTGCTAGGCAAGCGCTCTACGGCTGAGCCACAACCTCAGCCCTGCATCCCATCTCTTTTTTTTTTTTTTTTTTTTTTTATAGGCAGATCTGGTGATTTGTTTATTTCTATGAACACTTGATTCTACAATACAGTTCACAGAATAAATAGAGGCACACGGTTATAATTTCCACCATAGTCTGCTGTTGAGGGAGATTCGGTGTGAGGATGGGAGCTGGGGGTATGTCTGGGTCCTGTGGTAACTGGAGGCCTCATGATGAACTGTATAGGGATTCCACCTTCCAAAATCTGACCAAGGCCTGAAGATCAAGGCTCTTGGTGGGAGAGTTATAGCAAGTCAAATGCGAGGAACAGCCAATGCTTTTAGTTCACCACAGTCCCAGGGTGGGTGTGAGTCTACCTACACCCAGGGGTGTAGGTGAGTCTGATCTACCACCTACAGGGAAAGAATTGTGTCGATGCAGGCCTTCCCCAGCACTTAGTCCACTCCCCAGGAAGGCCTTGAGGCTGGATATGTCTGCCCCTTGACCTGGAGTGAGTAATGAATACAATTTATGAGGTTACTATTACATCAGTTTCTTTCTTGACTATGCCACAAAGGAATTCTGTCTGATAGACTCTAAGGACGGAGAGACACAAATGGAGATTGGATTATATGCCCTAACTCAGGTAAGGAACATGACTTGTAAAGTCAAGAAAGAAGAAAACAACACTCTTACCAGATCCTTCACAGGGGAAATAAGCAGACACAAAGACTAGTCTGATCAGACAAAGTTGGAGCCTGGAGTCAGGATTCAAACTGCACTGAATGAGGGGCTCATGTACAGAGAAGTTCTGGCCCGACTTTCACAGGGTCACTGTACTGTCTATCTTGTACCTCATTTTGCCAGGGCAGCACACAGCATTGGCCCTATGGGGGCTAGGGTCATGTGCCCCAAACATAGGCAGAATGAGGAGATTCTGAATCACTTGGCAGTAAATGGAGTGAAGGCCGCAGCCACTCTGTACTGGGTAACCCCAGGTCTCAGGAACAGGAAATGTCGACAAGTAAGAAAACACAGCTCCTGTCTTCAGCAAATAAGCATCAAGAAAAGACAGAACTGCTAACCACTGAGGGGTCTTTGGGCCAAAATCCTTAGCACTTTCTGTGATCAAATTGCTGATTGGCAGGTGATGGGGCACATCACAGGCTTCGGCTCCGTGGTCATCCTCATCTCATCTGAAATCTGGTTCATTCTGTTCATCTCAGGTGGTCATGGGCTTTACTGACACTATTCCAGCTGTGCCCACTGCCTCATCAAGCAGTGAGATTTCTGGCGGACTTGGAGGCACTCTGGGCCCGCTGAACTACCGCAGAACACTTCTCCCGCCGCAGCAGCTTATTGTTCTCAAATAGACCTTCGTTGCGGGGTATTCCATGAGAACCATCAGGGAAAGTCAGCAGGCCAAAACCATCTACTCTGCCATTTTTAAATTCCCCCTCAAAGGTCATGTTGTCATGCCGAATGAAGACTCCGACGCCATTAAACTTGCCCTGGGCAAACTCCCCCTCATACCTTGAACCATCTAAAAAGGTCAGTACCCCAAAGCCATTAAAGAGTCCATTCTCAAAATGACCCAGATAGGTCCCACCATCTGCAAACAGCAGTTGACCAAAACCATGCCTGCGGCCCTCCTTCCACTCTCCACGATATTCCTCCCCACTGGAGTAGGTGAAAGAACCTTTTGTCAGGGTCATGGTGACAGCTTACAGAAGAAAAAGATGAAATTTTTCCTAAAGGCTACACGAAACTTCCAGAGTGGTATCCCATCTTGTTCCAGAGAAACTAGTATAAGGTCCCTGGGTTTGCTCTCCAGCCCCGCAGGTTCTTCTGTTCACACAGTTCTGTCATTCCCTCCAGACGCAGCCCCTCATGCTCTGACCGCTAACCCGGGTGTTGCGCGCTCTCCCGAGACTTGAGGAGTGGTCCAAACTCGAGCTGGGCTTGGTACCCACCCCAGGCAGCCGCCCTCGGGTCAGGGCATCAGGATGAAGCCGCGCTCCCCAGCCCGGGTCTTCCGCTTGGCTCCTCTGTCCCTACCTGGCTGACCATTCTCTCGCAGCCTCCTCTCACCCGTGCTGCCAGCCGACTGGGGCTCGGCCTTTCGGGACTACTGTCACGCCCCAACGCGGGGCTTCGGCGGCAGAGACCTTTACTCCGCCTGGCTCTCCCCCTTCCACCGCATCCCATCTCTTAATGGCACTATTGCTTGCTCTCTTGCCAGCTGCTCTGCTAGGGCAGTCACTGAGGTGGTGTGTTTGCTCTGTCTCTGCACAAGGAATTGTACTGGCACATAGCCTATACCAGCTATATGTTTGCAGAAGAAAGGGAGAAGATCTATGTTGGGACATCTTTTTTCTTACTCTCTTCACTGAGTTGAGTTCCACACTTGGAAAAATCTGATCCTTTGAAAACGGTAAAGTCTTATTTTCGCATTCTCTTAGACTTAATGAATTTGATGAATAATCATTTGATGCTTCCAAATTATGATTCAACAGCTCCTACTTAAATAGGAATCAAAATGACATTTCTTTTTAAAGAATGAAGCATTAATTGAGCCGTTCTAGACACAAATTTCTTTCTACATAACTGACATGTACAGCAGAGCTGACAATCCACAATAAAATATTTTTTACAAGTTTCTTCACTAATCTAGCCCAGCACTTTCTAGACATATTGTTAGCCACTTTCAGGGACAATAACCAGTTCTTTCAGGAAAAAGAGGCTGCCTTTCTAAATGACTGTGCATGTGTCTCTAAAGTTGTTTTGTTGTTGTTTGTTTGAACATGGTCACCAGAGAAATTTACAAGGAACCAGACAAAATCAGTGTCATTCTGACCCAACCCTTTCAGGTGACCTCGAGTAAACTTTGCTCATTATAATATTAAACTCTGCACCCAGAGGCATTCCTATCCACCACTTTTTGAACATTTGATACATGAAGAAACATAATATCAAATTGAACATGTTCAAAAATGTACCTACCTCTACATGTGATGACCAGTCTTTTTTGTATGAGTTTCCCCAATAAAAACCCCTTGCTTTGTTTGCTCAGGTGACACCATGACACCTTGTTTATAAGTAATAAAACTATCTCCTCTACATCCCTATCTCTTTTTATTTTGAGACAGGATCACAATAAGTTTCTCAGGGCCTCTTTAATTTGTTGAGGCTGGCTTTGAACTTTCGATCCTCCTGCCTCAGTCTCCCATGTTGCTGGATTACAGGTGTGTGCCACCATGCCTGGCCTATCTCCACTCTTACCTCTTGGCTGTACTTATTGGCTTATATTCACCAAGAGGTGAACTCCTTGCATTCAGTTACAATATTATAAATACGATACTAATATCCTTTAGTTCCATAGCAAGCACAAGGCAACTATTCCAGGAATCACAGAGAATAAAACCACCATTGAAAGTCAAGTCTCAAATGTATGGGATTCTATTTATCTAAATTGCAAGGTAGTTGAGAACATGGCATCCTCTCGAGCTGTTAGCCAGCGGGGAAAACACATTAACAATGCTAGGGTTGACCCTTCTCATAACCCATGGGACCATATTACCATTCACATAATTTCATGATTTACATAATTTCAGGGCAGATTCATGAGACAAATTTTTGCTGCACCTAGGAGAAGGACTGAGACCACTCATGGTGAAGAAGCTACAGACAAGTAGGAAGCCTGGTGGGAAGAGACAGCTCCATGGTCAAGCAGCCATGGGGGGACCTGGGGTCTAATCCCTGCTCCAATCTTGGTTCAAATTCTGTGTGACCTTAGGCAAACTCCTTACCTTCAAGATACTCTCCATTCACCCCCAGGAATGTTGCCAGTAGGATAACTTAGTAACAGTTCCAGCGAATTACAAGGGTTTGAAAGTGGCCCCTGTGGGCACAGGTAGGTGCACTTGGGGCAAGCACTTGAGTGCATTTCAATTCAGCCCCGAAAGGATCTTCAAAAAGGACTTAATCCCCAAAGGTAGTGACACAGAAACAGCAAATTATGCATGTACCATCTTACTGTTAGCACGTGGAAGACCAGAGAGCAAAGGGACACCGGGTGACAGAAGACAGTAATATGACCACATATGGCTCTGCCAGTCATTCAGTTATTTCAGGTCAGATCCAGAATTGGGACCACTGATTCTCACTCCTAAGTCTTGTTCTGTCCCAGGAGATGATGCTTTTCAAACAGGTTGATCTCAAAAGAGTCCTTTCTCCAAATAAATGTGCGCAGGGGGAAAAGCCCAGCAAATAAAACTGTTAGAGTGAGAGCACTCCCACAAGGGCAGTACCTGTGGCTGTTGATGTCAGTGAATCAGAGATCCTTGTTCCCTACACCTGCATCGGCCGTCCACACATGCATACACACATGCAGCCTTAGGCTCCCAGCTCCCACTATGCAGAGGCCACTGCATCCCTTAGGCTGCACCATGCGCTAGACCCAAACCTTCATCGAAAACCATAAAGATGGTATCAAATTCTGAAACACCAGCAGCAGGCACTCCTGAAGTGAATCGATTCTATTTACAAACCTAAAGGCCATGAAGATCCCGAACCCCGCAAGCAAAAGGCAGGGAGTATAGGATGTGGGTCATTTATGTTTGTCATCAGCCTCAAGGGCTGCACACTGATTTTTCAGGGCCACTTTAAATGTCCTCCAAGGCCTGGGAGAAAAGTAGAAAACTTTGAAGGAAATGTGGAGCCTGGCTACATGCTAAAAGCCATGCTCCTCTTCACCCTGTTGTTTTAGAAGGCTTTAGTGGGGGTGAAACCCCTGCTTTGTCCCATGGCAGAGCTGGCATCCACCTACCTCAGTGTGGACATATGGACTCTGAGGTGGGTGCTGTCCGGAAGCTCCCCCTTCTCTGAGGAGGCAGATGTAGACAAACCAGCTGTGTCTCTGCTCAGCAGGTATCTTCGTTCCCATTCAACCGAGCTGTTTTCCCAAGATTCATCAGCGGTGATGAACTCTGAGGAGTAAGCAGGCATGCATCGAGACCTGGAAAACGAGAGCTTGGTAGTTATTTTTGCTTTGCATTGCTTTTTTTTTTTTTGTGTGTGTGTGTGTGTGTTCAAAATGATAAAGTCAATTCAATGTCCTGGATATTTAGTTCAAAAGTACGTATTAGTTTTAACTGCAAAGGCTGCCTCAGAGCCTCTTTACCAGCATAGAACTCAAAATCTTTTCTAGACCCAAGTGCTCTGGAGAAAAAGCAAAACAAAACAGCCAACAAAAAACATAGAAAGGATCAAAAGAAACTAGCTGTACCCCCAAACACTCAGAAAGTCATGTTATTTACATAAAATAATGCTGGGTCTGTTTAGGACAGGAAGTGAGGTGTAGGATCCAATCCTTCTGCAATGATGATAACAAGAGTTCTAGTCCTTCCCCACTTTCTCTCCTTACTTCATGGCAGTATTCATCATCCATTCTGCCCTCTGCCCTTCAATGCCAACAGCACCCCAGCTACCAGTGTGATAAACAAAAATGTCTCCAGACAGTGCCAACCTCACTCCTGGCTGAGAAACCCCAGTCTCACATGGGCTCAGTAATCATTGTAAGGTTATGCTTAAGGGCATTTGGGAATTCCGAAGCCACAGATATAACCACCAGCATGATGAACATCCATTACAATGATGTATCAAGGATCTGATAGAGATCAAATGTCAAGTAAAAAGTTATAGCTCAGGAAGAAATTCTCCACCATAAGTGCCATGGACATTGCCCAAAGAGTTCTTACACTCTTAAGAAGAAAAACAAAAATCTCACCCTCTGTCTTGTGAGGAATTATGCAGCAATGGAGTATTTTCTGTAATGCAGGGGTCTTTAGAGCTGGAGCTGAAGAACTGAAGGAAAGGAGATGCGGACCTGAAAAAGACAGGAAAGGAACCAGAATCAGCAGCACAAAACAATGGAGGTGTCCCCAATAACAGGGAGCAAGATCCAACCAAAAATCTGCCCAAGATTCAGCAATAAATTGTACATGGAATTTTGACCCAAAAGTTCTATCTGAATTGTAAAAATCTAGAGTTTAGGAGAGACAATTAGAATTTTACCTTTTTCTCCAGTCTAACCAAAATGCAAAAAAAAAAAAAAAGCAGAAACTCTCTCAGGAGACCAGATGCTATGGGATTCACACTTTCAGGTTAATGTTAGCATTGAACTTTCCATGCAGAGCTTTCCATCAATACAAGCATTCAAACCGATGGACCCATTTATATGCAGATAATTCTATCTCCAGAGATCACAACACATTCACGTGAAAATGTCCTAATGGCTTCTACTGGAAGACCAAGTAGCAGAAGTCAGGGCCAACTGGTAGAAATAAAATGGTAGCCAGAGTGGCATGGAGGAGACTCCCAATGGGCAGCAGTCACAACCGAGGCAAAGCCCTGGGAGGATGCCCCTCTGCTACACTGGCCTGTCTACTCAAAGAAAGGCTGCCAAAAATGTTATTATCCAGATAAGGAGCTTTGTGAAAGGGAAATGATTGTCCAGATGCAAGTGCACCACCAATATATGGTTGTTCTCATTAAAGGACACATGATGTTTTATGAGAACTTGTAGAAATCATTTTCACTCCTAATCATTGGAAATATGTTACTTTATACACTGATATACTACCTTTCTTAAATAGCCCAGATGATATAAAGATGCTGTGGGTGCCATGAATCACTCACATAGAGAAATAACAGTCATTCCTTTGGATCATAAATGCACAAGGAAGGAATTCTAAGAAAAATAATATTTCCACTATTTTTCTCATTCAAGCATTCATTGGTGACAGACAGTAAGACTCTGGTTTTGTGGATGAGTGAACACCAGGCCACTGAGCTGTGACTAACAGCACCCACCATGTCTCCAGGAAGACAGAAATGGATTCTATTCGAGGTCAGCATGAGTCCCCTTGGCACTATGTCTGGGCTGCCTTTGGCCACTTTCAATGGAGAACACAGATGACAGAGAACTCTCTCCTCAGGGGCCTTCCTAGCCAGTAAGGGGAATGCGAAGGGACAAAGGCATAGAGTAGATGCCTTGATTTGGGCAGATGAAGGAAGGAAGGTAGGTAGAAGAATTTTGCTCAAGAAATTTAATAATTAGAGTATTTTTAACAGCTCAAACTGGCTTATGCAATTAGTTGAGTCTACTTCTCCAAACTCTCATAATTGTAAATCTAAAAGGGCTTCAGGTATCTTTAGAAAAATGTCTCAATGAGTCAACAAATATCTAGGTATTTTCTGTTGCTCCCAGGAATGGTTTATTGCATGGTATTACTGGGAAAGCCCACTATTTCGAAGACCTTGATCCTATTATTTAACTACCCTATGCTTCCATTTCCTCAACTGTGTCATACAGATTTAAAGAAAACAACACACACACACACACACACATGCACACACCCATCAGCTTTGATGCATTAAATAAGATGTAAATGTAAAAGAATGAGTTTGATTACTGATGCAATCATTTTCATTAGACTGTGAGTTCCTTATGAATGGCCGCCATGTTGTTTTTATCCACCATAAGTAGTACCCAATTGAATGTAGGTTCTTAATAAATATTTAATAATGGATGGTTTAAAACCCAGTAATCATAACTTATTTGGCTGAGAATAACTTTTTTTTTGACTCAAACAAAACAGTTTTCTAAGCCATTACAATGTTCTTAGAATCACCATTGTCCCTCTGAAGAGTGGTTAGTGCAGTGCAGGTTCCTTGGAAAGCCTAACCTTGAGGGTCTCAGAACAGCACAGGGCAACACCATGTTACACAACACACAGGATTTGCCTTCTTGCCATTAAGGAGGAAATTTGGAAATGGGGGAAGGGTCCAAAGTCCATTTTATCCTCTCTGCAGTGGCCACATATAGCTGATTTCATTATTGCTTAATATGCTGTTGCACTTTGTAACACATAGTATTTTATGATTGTAGTTGAGCATTATGAAATGGTTTCTAAACTATTTTATATAGTTATATTATTTTTCTAAAAAGCCAAAAATAAAATGAGTTTCACCAGGAAATTTCCCAAGAGACTTCAGGCCATTCAAAATTTAAACTTGACACCACCCTGATAGTATTTCTCACTGTCTCAAATTCATTCTTCTTCCCAAAGAGGGGAGAACAGAGGAACCCCTTTAAGTCCTGTTACTCGGCAGGATCCCTGACATGCATCCTGGAACACAAACTTAGCATAGAGGAGACTCAGGATGACCCAGAATACACATTTCATAGCTTGGCAATAAAAACTACAGTCCACAGAGCTGAAAGCCTGGCCTGTTTCCTTTGGCGTAATTAAGGGAGAAAGTAGTGATGAGATCTATATTATTCCTGACCTTTTCTCTTCTGAAAAAAGAAATCCCCTTGACATTTTTCTGACTTCACATCTGTGTGGTTTCATAAATTTCAACAGTGTCTGGCTCCCTCATGTCTCAACAAACTCTGTACATGCATTTGCAAAATTCACCCATGCCCATAAACTTATAAGCAGGCAATATTTATTTTGAATAATTTGGAAATTCAAAAAGAGGATAACAAATTAAAAATTGTATGTAATCCCATTTTCCAGAGACACCCAAAGCTAACATTTAAAGAACTTGCTTTCAGGGTTGTTGTTGTTTTTTTTTTCCTACATATAGTGAATATTTTTCTAAGTCAGGTGTACCTATGGATCTATGCATGTACGGACACACATTCTCACACATAAGGTGTTTTTCTTCAGATTTTTCAACTTAGCCATCTCATTAGCATTTCCTGTGTTATTTACTATTCTTGTACAACATAATTTTAGTGTTGATCATCATATTCCATTATATGAATTGCCGCATTAAGCTTGACAGTCCATCTATTGATGGAGATCTAGGAGATTTCTGGGTTTTTATTGAAGTAAGTAACAAATGCCGAGAGTACTGGTATTTAAGTTTGTGTGTGCCTCTGCCTATTTCCTTAGGATTGATTCTTAAAAGTAGAGTCATGGGTCTAGAATTTTCTTGGACCACCATCCTCTTGCTGGAAGAAAGACTGTCTAATACTGTAACTTTCGGTTACAGGCAAGAACAAATTTTTATTGCTGCCAGTCCTGATATTAGCTAAGGTTTAAATCCTCAAGCAATAAGTTTTAAAGAGCTAGAATAATGGATATGATCCAACCCCACCACTGTCAAGGAATCCTGCTGCCATGAAAATTAGGGAGACAAGTTCATGCCAGACTGAGAGATTCAGCTTATTTCCCATACCTCTGCCACAACTCTCCAGACCTTCCAGTTCTTTCTAGATCCAAATACTTGACAACCCTATGCTGCTTTTTGCAATATTACTGAGGAAGAAAAGTAACTAAAACTGTTGCAGATATGAAGCACCTCATATATTAACACTTCTGTGAGAATTTACATTTTTAAAGACCAGAAATGAGAATGGACAGTTTGGGGAGGTGGAGGCTGGGTGTCAGAGGCAGAGGAAGAGATTTGCTCTCAGTCTCTCTCAAGCCCTGTGGCGTGTAGGCACCACAGACACAGCCATGGCTGAGGTCAGCTCTCCTTGGCAGTGGGACACAGAGCCGGTAACACAAAATGAAAAGTGCTATCTCTGATCTGTGTGGCAACCAAACTCACATCCATGCACTTTCCAAAGGATGTCTCCAAGCTTCCCTGAGGAAACCCAAGAGCAGGCAGGAAGGCAGAGGGATGAGTGCAGAGGAGAGGTGGCATAAGCCATGCAGAGCTCCATGTGGAGCTACACCCAGGGCCAGCCTGCAAGTGGGACCAGGAAAAATCAGCAGAAGGCAGAGGGTTGGAAGGCAGTCAGTAGCCCTGTGAGACCAGGTCAGGGAAGGACCCCAATGCATGTGTGGGGACCAAGTATGTGAAAACCAAGCTGAGCCACGAGACCCTCCCTGCCCCAGAGCCTGCACCACAGCTGGGCTGTTTGGAGGCAGCTGAGGAGCCCTGCCATAACCAGAGCAGGGGATAGGCTGCAGAAAACAGAGACATGTTTCCATCTGGGGCCAGCTCTTCACATCCCCATTGCCTGACGGTATCCCTAAAGTGTCCTAGAAAGAAAGGGGATTCTCCCCCACTCATTATTGCTAGGATTCTGTTTGATAAGGATTAATAACAACCATGGATCATTAAAGTGAATGCTTTCTGCATCCAGGATCTGTGCCTATCACCTTATGATCTCATTTACCCCTCATGATAACTCTAAAGGTAGATAATTTTCTCTCCATTTGAAAAGGAGCAAATATAATTCAAAGAAGTCAGGCCCTGGGGGGGCCCCCAGCTGCTAAGGGCAGAGCAGCATGTGCCCAGTTCCTGATACCAGTCTTCAGCCCTTCCTTCCCACCAGGAGGCAATGCATCTGAGAGGTGGTGCTAGGCAGGGAGCCCTCCATGCAGATGACCACAAAGAGGCCTTGACGGATCAGTCAAGCAGCAGTCACAGCCAACATGACCCCCCATTCTTCTCTGCCAGTCAGGGAGAACAATGAGGTTTCACACACACACATATCTCTCTCTCTCTCTCTCTCTCTCTCTCTCTCTCTCTCTCTCTCTCTCTCTCATACACACACACACACACACACACACACACACACATACACACACACACACACACACACACACACACTTCATTGTCCCAACCTACCTTCTCAGGAAAGAAAAGCAAACCAGCAGACAAAAGCATAGCTGAGTTTGCCCCAAAAGTGGCCACCTGGAACACAGCCAGGTGAGGAAGAAACACGAGCAGGAAGCTATTACCCATTTATGTGCAATTTTCAGAAGGCTTGGAAGAAGACTGCGATTTCTTACCTGAATACAATCAGAGCCTCTGAGACTCTCATCATCATTCTGTCTGAGCTGAGATAGGCTTTTTAAG